ACGTCTGACAATTCATTTTACTCATCAATGTATGACATCATGAAAGTTACATATAAACAAGTTTTCCTTGGAAATTTGGCCTCTATGACATCATCGATTCATTATTACTTCCCGTCATGATTTTTGAATTTACATTAGAGATAATAGGATTTGTTTATTTTAAGCTTCTTTAGCTTTTATATTAGGATACTAATGGTTTGAGATTAGTCTATGTATGGGTACTTTCCTACACTTTGTGTTAATATATGGTTTATTGTGTTATGGAACTTCATCTATTGTTCTTTGCCAGTCACAGGAGACCTAATATCCCCTTTTGTACTCACTCTTAGCGTAATTATAACTGAGATGTTCTGCTTTCAGTTAAAATATATATTTGTCTCAATAGCCTCAATAAGGCAAACAGAAGTCTTAGCATTTGTGTTGAGAAGTTTTGTGGAGACTATTTTGAAGAATAGAAACTGAACTTAACTCACTGAAATGTTGTAGTTATAATGGCAGAGTAAAAAGCAAGTGCTGAAAATTGGAAGAAAATATATCAGAATTGAAAGTGCTCCCTAATCTGTATGTGTGCAGTGATATACCCCAGAAAGGAATAAGCTGTACCCAAATGCAAAGTAAAATTGAATATATTTGATACAATATTAATATTATATCGGACAAGTATAAGTAGCTAAAATTTTGGTGGTGGTGTGGCTTGAATTTCTATCTTCTATTGAGAGTTGAATTAGTGTTGTTAATAATACTTGCTGTTGAGTAGAAAGTGGTCAATGAGTCCGTGGTTTGATTTGAGTTGTTGTCTACCAACAGTAAATAGAAACATAAATTTTGTAATTTGTGCAGAAAAACGCTTTAGTTGTATAGGGTGTTCATAAGTCCTGTTACAATTTCAGTTTTGTTATGAAATCTTGTTTTTGATATATCTAAACCACGTTAGTTTTATGAGTTTTTTTTACCTCATTCAATACACCTTTATATGACCACCATTTGTTGTACAAAGCATTTCAAAGTTCTTTCACAAACGGTAAAGCCAAACATAATTATAGACACCCTGTATGATTAAAATAAAGTAAATTTACAATATGTTTGGATGTCCTTCTCCACTATTGTACTGCTGTCTTTACTAGCCTAGTCAATACATCAGAAAAAGCTGATAATGATAATCTCTTTACTATTAATGTTGCAGTGATTCTGTGTTGCGTTATATTGTATACTATTTTTTACTAATCACTGTGGAAATACTATATACTACATCTCAATATGAGACGAAAACTAAGATTTGGTTATAGATCAAGAAAAACAAATCATGCAACCAGTTATTGGAATGGACAAGTAAGTTTAGTTTTCTTTGGATTATTTCGGAAAACATTGATTTGATTGAGTTTCTCTTTTTTGATAGTTCTCAGAAATTGAATGAAGACCATTTTGGTTATACTGTTAAACTTAGTTGATCAAAGTGATATTTCTTTGAATGAAATTACCATAATCCAGATTATTCCTGAAATCGAGGATTTCAAATATAGAATAGGCCTAATATAACATAGAAATTAAACTTTGAAACAGATTGAATATTCTATTCCCACAAAAGGAGAAGCTGCTCTGCAAGCAACTATTTTTATTCAATGAATGAGTAGTTTTTAACTGGGGCTAAATTCAACTCTTGGGAGTACATTTTGCAAGCAAGAAAATTCCTTCATTTCTCTACTACGGGACATAGCAATTATCTACTTTTATAAAGATATTTATCCACAATTCATTTTTAAATTTGGCTTAGTTTATAATTTCAGCCAATGTCATTGTAACAATCTTTGAAAGTTCAGAGTTTCAAATCTGTCTATTTCCATGTTTCACAACTCGGACATAATAACTATGTACAGAGGAAGTTTGCTTCGTATAAACAGTCTTTAGTTATTTGTCATTACTATGAGACTCATTCATACACATATCATAAACTACTTGAACTGTACGAAAGCGGGATTTTTTCACATAGCTCTAGCTTAGGGTTCATAGAAGATTGAAGAAATAAAGTACTTTTTGTGCCTAGTGAGAGAGGAATAAAAAGTTCCTAAATAGGCTAAGAGTGGAAATAAACGAAAAAGATTGAAAACCAATGAAACTATTTACTCTGGATCGGTTCAGACAAAATCAACTTTTAGAAATTGTTATACCATTCTGCATATATAGAAAGAGATTCAGAGTCTAATATCATCAGCATAGTCCAACCCAATATTTTTGATTAATCATTTTGATGTTATTATTTCTCACACATCAAACAAATTTCTCTTCGTAATACCTACCATTATAGTACACTTATCCTGGATTATGTTTGCATTTAATATATCCCACTGGATCAAATATCCTATATATCAATATCAATTGTCGTATAAAATAATTTTATTTAAAATTGATTTTGTTTGAAGATTCATTTGGTGGTAGCAACAATCAGAATAGAGATTTCATATTCTATCTAGCAGCATTGTTCCAGTGGAAATGATTGTTAGGGGTTTATTAGGTGCTCCAGAAGTGTATGTACCAATATGGAGGTAACTAATTTTGTTTGCCTACTTTACATCCAAGTTGTATAAAGGGACTGAAACCTATTGGCAGGGGGTATATTCACTTAGCTAACACAGACAGTCCCTGAACTCGTAATAAAATTAAAATACGGAAAATGGGAATAAAATTACGGCCTAACTAACCCTAACCTGGTACACATACTACGGGAGTAGGCTACCGTTTATTCTATGGAAAGTATGTGCTAAAGATGGCTGGATTTTTTGAGAATAAAATAGAAAATCTGACAGTATAATACAGTTTTAGTGCAATATTGGGTAGAAAGAAACTTAAATATTTTTGCAGTCTTATGGGCAATTTTCCTTAGTTTAGAGAATATTTCAGTCGAGAATTAAATTCTATAATAATCTCAAACTCAAAGCAAGGGATTGAATGTAATTTGTTATTCGTTGTTGTTTCTTATAGCTCTATTTATTATAAAACGCGTTCGGCATGGAAGCAGACAAATCCGGTGATTTAAACCATTTACTGGATAAATTAGGCAAAAGAACAGGCACCAATTTACCTGCTCTGATCACACTTTTGCGTCAAGCATTTGAGGTAGAGTTTTATCTTTTATTCTGTGTATGATTTTTTTTGTTTACTGTAAAGTATGTGGAAACAATACCATTGTATTTTGGAGTGTATAGAATCGTGTTTGTCTCTGAATTTTGATGAAAAATTGAAAAGCAAAAAATGAATTACTAATTTAAAAGCCTATTTAGTTTGTAGACCAATTACTTTGCTTCTGCTGTCCTTTGCAAAAGTGGATCCATAGGCAACCTTATTGTGTATATGCTGTAGTGGAAGTAAAAATTATAATAATAAAGTCAGGATAAGAATTATATTTCTTGATCAAAAATACTGAAAATTTGTTTGTAAATTATAGCAAAACTTATGGTAATACCGTAAATGCACTATGATTAGGAAACTTGTGTGTTAAAAGATAAAATGTAAAATATTCATTTTGCTTTGAAATACTTGTTTACTAATCTTGCTGTGAGCCTATTACCTTACTAAACAAATTCATAATATTCATGATCAAAGATGGTTAAAAGTTAAAATGAAAAATAATTTTGAATAAAGCAAATTCAATATATTCTGATTTAGACCATGTTTAACTGATAACATATTCATTCAATCAGAATTTTGAAATGTGAGAAAATTCATTTTTATATCTAAGTTGTAAACTGCTTGTCTGAAGAAGTCTTAGTTTGTTTAGTAGACGAAATGTAACAAAAGAAAATTTGTGTGTCTGTCTGATACAAGATTTTTTAACCACTTATTGTTGCAATGTTGCATCTTTGCTAATTAATATAATCTCTATATTATTAGTCATTTGTATTTTATTGCTGGATGAATCAAATCTAATTGTGATATCATAATGAAATACTCATAAGAAATCACCTCAGTAAATTAGTCTGCAAGTGTGCAAATATGTCATACTGTATGGCAATAGTTCAAAACGTACCATTGCTTCAATAAGGTGTTTTAACATGTACGAATCCTTGCCTAGGAATACTTTAAAAAATGTTTGTTTTCAATGTAACAGTCGTATCAACAATTAGATTCCAGTACAGAGTTCTATACTAGATTGAAAATTTCCTTCCCTTATTAAATTTTAAAGCATTTAAATCAGTGGTTCTCAAAGTTTCTGACCATGGGCCAAAAATTAAAAGCGGAAGATATTTGCGGGGCAGGGGGCCAATTGGCGGTATCTAGAATGCAAAAAGTTGAAAACATTTCAGCTGAGTTCGGTGGGCCCTATTATAGCGTTACGCGGGCCGTAATTTGGTCCCGGGCCAAGATTGCGGATCCACCATTTAAACTAAGACACTTTCACTACACAAGTGTTTATATTATTTACTTACAAATTCAACACAATTAGTCATTCACATATATAGAGCTTATATTTAAGAATATTTTCAATTTGGCCTGAGATCCCCAATAGACTACATCCTAGTGAAGTCGTAGGTACAGAAAATGTATGTGGGTGAGATCTCTATCTTGTGATATGGTAACAAAGAACAGTAACAACCGGTTGGACCAGCCATGCAAACAAATTCTTCTCCTTGGAAATCTGTTTGTATTTCAATATTTCAGATAATAAATAAATTTTATTGTTTTTACATTTTCGCAGGGAAACTCAAACTTATACAATGATTTTATATATAGGATATACTTATAAAACAATTTGTGTACAGTTAAAAAATCCTTAAAATTGAAATTATTTTCGAATGAGAATTCCATTATTAATGAATATGGAAATCCCTAGCAATAACTAAGTTATCTTAAACATGCAAGAATGAATATTATCATTATTTTATCCTATAACATGAGAATTCATTCACCAATGCACAAATTTGATGCATTTCTTGGTAGCATACCATCTATTGGTAATCAATCTTGTGCATTCAGTTAGTCTAATTATGCTTCTCTTTTGTATCAAGGTTCTTCTTTCACATGGTAGCCCAAGTTCAGATGCCAACGGATTGAAAGTTGATGCCAGCTATGGAGATATTGGACAAGTTCCTAACCTTAAATCTTGTAGGTTATTTCTTTGATTATGCAGTATTGTCTAATCATTTTTCATTTTTAGGGATGTTCCGGTAAATTTTGTCTTACCTTAGTAATTTCAAGGTTTTTCCAACTACATGGCATTTGGTATTATCACAAGGAAAATAAGTATCAGTAATAGACTAAGAAAGTATAAAACCCTGATAATGCAGTTTATCGAGTATCAATGATTTGAAACTTAAAAGCAACTTGAATTGTTTAAAGTAACACCAAGTGTCCTGAAATGGATGGCATAACTCAACTGTCTAAAATAGATTTGTTGTAGTAATACATGTACTGGTAAGAGGCAAGCGATATAATTTATATATTTCAGCCACTCGCTAATTGAAAACGTTTCTGAATTTATTGTTTTTTTATTCCAGTATACTGTGAAGCAATATCAAGAACTTACAAATTCCCAACAACAAATAAAGGTTTTTTAAGCGTTCAAGAAATCATGTTAGAGACAAGATTGTCATTCCATGTTCCTCTTGAATATTTGTAAGTTATTTTGTTTCTATAATTAAGATGGATGGTTATAAACTAGGATGCTACTCATGCATTTGGGGAAATGATTGATGTTACCCAGTTGGACAACTTTATCAAGAGAATGTAATAATTCTTATAAAATCTTTCTCATTTGAAAAATTGATCACCATTGTTGTTTGTTAAACAACCCTGTCTATGTATCTCATTTTTTGAGGAGATTCAATACTTGATTCAAGATTTTATTTGAAAGGAAACCCTGTTTACTAATGGGAATCTGGAAATGTCAGTTAATTTATATAAAACCAAATATTGAAATATGATGCCATTGAAAAAGTAAATTTGTCTTAAATTTTTATATGTTCTCATTAAAATCATAATTTTTATCATATATCGTATTTTTGCTAAAAAAGTAATTTACCACTTTAGATCAATAGGTATAAAAATCGTCTGCAAGACAAATTCTGAATATCAAACTGTTTTGTTACACACATTGCATCTCTTGCTTTAAGAAATCGTATTTTCTTCGAAAATTTCTTCAACACAGAGTTAGGAGAAAAGTTTGATTGTAAATGTTCCCCCCTTTACACTCCACACATTCACAATTACTCTTAATAAATATAAAAACATTTTTACTCTATGTTTGAGAAAATTTCAATGGGATTCGTTTTTTGTGTGAGATGACGTCATCAAAATTTGCGCAATTTGTTGCGGTTCCGCTTTTGCCGCAGTCATGAAGATTGCCGTACTAGTAGTCTACTTTGACAGATTGCATGCCCATACTACTTTGTTTTGGCCTTCGTGTCCATATATCTGAGCATTGCTTTCTTGTTGAATGGCCAAGAGGCAGCCGAGATGCACGGTTTGGATGGCGACATTTCACTAGGTGGCGCGCTCAAGTTTTTTGTTCGCTTACCGAATTGTTCGAGTATCGGGTTGTTCGACAAACGAGGTTTTATTTAACCGCAGATTTTTTTGCTTATGAATTCAGAAGATAACCTTATATTATACCCTTTTTTTTTATAGAAAACTTCTCATAGATCAAGAGACGAGGTTTATTGGAACTTTAAATTCTATTAAATATTTGGTCGAATATTTACAACAAACAAAAATAAAACAAGCACAAAATAAAGAAAAATTAATTCAACAATATCAAGAAGGTGTCAAGAATATTGTGGACAGGAGGAGAGGTAAGAATAGGAAACATACTTGAGTTTGTTGAGTTGCTGGTTCAATGTTTGGTAATTGGGCTTCAGAAGTATGTGTACCAATATGGAGGACTAATTTTATTCGCCTACTTTACATCCAGTTGTGTAAAGGGACTCAAACCTATAGACGGGGGGTATATTCACTTGGCTAATACAGACAGTCACCGAACTTGTAGTGGAACTGAAATAATGAAAATCTAAATTAAATTATGGCCTAACCTTGACCTGGTACACATACTTCGGGAGTACTAGTAATTGGTATGGTACAATGGTAATTTCTCTGTGATAATGAATAATATAAGATAAACTTTGGCGCAGTGGTTGGGCTTCGGGCCTATCTAGGAACCCTTAACCCACCACTGCACCCAATGCAATGTCCCAATGTAAGCAATGCAATGTAAGCTGGAAATATTCAGTTTTTCCCAAAATAGTAATCCTTATCTATAATGACTTTTTTTGCAACGTCCAGGAACTTTAATGGGACTTATATGCTTGCATGTTTTCATTCAAACGATCGAATCTTGGCTCGATTTTGGTGATGGTGGGTCTCAGTAGTGGTTCCAAATTCTAATTTTATTGATATTTTATTTTAACATAAGTTAGTGCCAAAAAGCTTTTTCACAGAGATAAGTGGAGGCAAAAAGCAAAAGAGTAAATATGGCTAGTTCTGACAATATTGGGTATCGCAAGTCCGCAACCCCCCATTGAGACCTTTCGCTACAGCATAGTTTCATTCAGATTATTTGGAAACCGTACTGAAATTTTAAGGCAGAATTTTGATATGCCTAGCTATTTCAATATGGAGAACCCTAACCTTCCATCCCAAATTTCAATTCTAAATCTGGAAGGTGGCAAATTTGTCCTCCTAATCCATGAAGTCATGTTATGTCTCATTTGAAAGAAATAAAATACAATCAATTCATTCTTTACTGATGTCATAAATTTAAATTCTCGCTTCCTGTTACTTTCAAAGGTCCTTCATTCAAGGCAAGTATGCAAAAGACAGAAAAAGAATATGAATTCATTCCGACTAATTTACATCTTCAAAGAATGAGAGTTCAACATTCTGATTGTATTTCTGCTTCAACACCCGAAAACACAGAAAATGGTAGGTTGTTTGTCATTATTGGAAAATTTGTGAATTGGGGCATATCAAACAGAGAGATTTGGGCGCTCCAGATGTGTGTGTACCAATATTGAGGAAACTAATTTTGTTTGCCTACTCTACATCAAGTTGTGTAGATGGACTGAAACCTATGGGCAGGGGGTATATTCACTTTGTAACACAGACAGTCCCCGAACTCGTAATAGAACTAAAATAAGAAAAATCAAAATAAAATTATTGCCCAACCCTAACCTGGTACACACACTATGGGAGTACCATAGTGTAAATTTTTGTAAGACTGAAAAAGTCGCTAATAACGCATGCGATTGCATTTTGTTAAAAACGTCGATCGTTTTCGTCAGCACTACGTGCCGTCTACTTGGATTTTTTGAGTAATAGTGCTTTTATACTACCATAAATTGACGCAAAGGCGAGTTACGATGAACACAATAAATTAATATGGCGTTTTAAATGCTCCCATCAGCAATGTATTGAATATTTTATGCAACAGAAAAATTATTATCTGCTGAAAAAGGCTATTTTCAACGAGTGGCATAATCCAAGGGCCTATTTTAGGAGCCAGTGCGCAGGAATTTCTGATTCCCATTTTTTGGAACCCCCTTTTTTAAAATCCTGACGACGACACTGCTACTGTTATCTACTTCAATACTAGTTTTTTCTTCAAGCTTCGAGTTCACCACCTGTTCGTGTTTATGACTTCATAACAGTTGGTGCAGCAACAGCACATTGTTTTAAATATAAGCAAGGTGGATTGTTGTCACTCATGTCATCTTCCTCAGAAAAAGTAAAGAAGGGGTAAGCTTTCAGAAGTTTGCGTTCAATGAAGTTTTTGCGTATTATATTTGTTGGCAAGTGGCTTTGATAAAATAAATGTGACTATGGATTTTTGAATTATATAGAAATTCAGATTAATGATATTTACAAATTACCAGAAATTCAATTAATGAAAAAAATTTTCGCAACGAAATTTGGTACATATCGTTTTGGATGGTTAAAAATTTTTGTTTAAATAAGATGTTTCCACAAAATAGAAGTTTTTTGTCAAATATATGTGATTACAATTATCTTTATATGTCTGGAATGTGAAATGCAACACGACAAATTTGATTGATTGAGAAATGATTTATTTAAAATTTTGCTTTCTCAAATTTAGTACATATCAGGATTTTACATTCAAAACGCAAGAATTTCAACACGACCACATGGTAGATTGGTAGATCAAATCGAATGCGTAAAAAAATCAAAAACAATCTTTGATTTTGATTTGAAGATTTTTTTTCAGACTGCTTAAATATATTGAAAAATGGTTTCATTGCTACAATACTCTCCTGAAATGCTTTTTCAAAACTTCAGGAATTTATGACCCTGGGTTTGTCAAGGATTCGATTCATTTGAATAAGTTTAATAAAAAAAAATTTCACTTTTTTATTTACAGTAGAGAACTCGCTCTCACGTCTCTTTGTAACCAAGAAAATTTGAAAAATGACATTGCGGAATTACCAGTGACGATATCTGACTTACAGAAGGAAGTTAAATCTCATATCAGTACAATTGAAACATTGATATTGGCTGGTAAAGAATGCAACACTGTTCCGACACGAACATCTGCTGAGATGGCTGTTACAATGTTAAGCGATAAGGTGAATAAAAACTATAGTTGATTGTAGACGCTGAAAATTTCCCTATTTTATTGTTATTGTGATGTCATAAAGTTCAGCTAGAGTTTGTTACTTACTTGGACTTTGTGTGTTCCTATTTGGGAATTTTCTACACTTCTTATTGATGTATTGTTTTAATATGTCATGTTACTGATTATGCATTTCTTGACTTAGACACATAGAATTTGAATAACTCGTGGATATTTATATTGAATTTGAAATCTAAAGTTTGGAAAATAGATACAATTTATACAAAATTTAATATTGTGTGTAATAATAATTTTAGGAATATATTTCAGCTTTCAAATAATGCCAGTATAGGTATCAAATATGAAATCGGGCTGTCTGCATTATTTAAATGTCCTTAACACATTTTGCTAACGGATATCTTTTTTAGTATATTTATTGTCCTTTTTCAAAAAATAAAATGAAAATTTCATCTTTATTTAGCCTTATACTCTTGAATTTCTCAGGGTAATATAGTATAGTGGTTCCCAACCTTTTTTCTGGAGACCCAAATTAAAAAAAATGTCGCTAGCCAAGGATAACCTTGCGTACTAAATGTACTTTTGTGTTGTACTTTTATGGCCGCTAGAATGAATGACTAATATGAAACAATCATTTTTATATGACCTCTATTTTCCTAGAAGTTACCCCAAAGTAAGAAATCCGTTCTTGTTTGCAATCACCGAGTTTTTAAAATCGCGGCGTGGGTTCACTTCACATATCAACAAAATCGATGCTGCCAAGTTTTCATGCTGTAATACTTTTCCCACATATTCAATCACTATTGAGCAACACTTCAATACTAAATATAAAATTACCAATACAATCTTCTAGAAAATGAAATCGACACATTTTTGTTGAAGTTTTTGTTGAAAAACAAGCGACCCAAGATGATTTTCAGGCGATTCAGTTTTGGGTCACAACCAGGGCTCTGATGATTTCAGAATCAAATATTATTTTGGAATCGAATCTCGAATACTTGGAAGAAATGCAGTTGTATTGACTGTTCTTTATAATGGGTCCTGCAGCCACATAAATTAGTAAGAACACGTAATCTATCACTCAGAAGAAGTGAGTCATATGTCTGAATTGCATTTTAAAAATTTGATATTAATAAAAAAAATGAGAGATTCACCTAGACCTGTGGGTGGGCAAAAAAAAGATGACGAAGATTCAAAATTCCCATCGGATTTTACTATTCGATTCAAAATGTCCAGCCCTAGTCACGACCCATAGGTTGGAAACACTGATATAGTAGATCACCATAAATTACGGTATATTATTTCTCAGACCTGCTTACTTGTATCATTGTTGGACAACGAAGACTTATGTAAAGCACTTTCTAAAATTTCTAATGATTTAAATGGATCGTCATCAGCTGGAAATAGTTTATTAAACGCTTCAACAAAGTTAGTTTCTGGATCAAGTCTTGAATGGGTAAGAATATCTCGATATTTTACAATGTTATGATAATGCTAAATTGTTTATAGAATTTCGTTCTACCTGTTTATCTGGCAGTTTGGACCTGGGTTGTTTTAAGTCTTGTGGAACTGCTCTATGCTGACATTTTTGTTACAAGCTTTGACCTATACAACTTTCAATGCATCAGTGATAACTTGTAATCATTTTATTAGCATTTTTTCCCTGATCGATTGAGTCATGTGCCCTTGGCCTGCAAACCAATTAAATACTATGTCAAATCTTTGCCCCCTTTTTTTTCGTTTTCAAGTATCGTATCGTATGGATCATAGGGTATACTGGGTTTGAAGGTGCACTGTCAATAAGTTGCTTAGATAGGGTTTTTAATCATACATTGGGCTGTAAGGCACAGCGGGTACTGCTTTTGATCATAGGCAATAGATCATAAAGCACTACCGGTTCTGTACATGAGGCGCTTCGATTATTTTTGAGAAAACAAAGTATTTTAAGTGCGCCTTGGGGTTTGTAAAATAAGGTAGATATTTTATTATGGGCTTGAATTCTATCTCTGTACCAAGCTTGTACCTTTGCTCGTATCAAAATAGTCTGGTAATATAAAAAAAAATTTCCTACGAGTCGGATTATAGTACTTTAGTATATGGATCTTGAAATAAATTAATTGGATTATTTTTGACACCCCTAATTATTCACTGATTATTTATAAATCAGCTTTTATTTCATCCTTGCCCATAGCAAATTATTTTGATTGCGTAATTTGTTTTTGTTGGAGTAGTTTCATCAAAATTTGGTAAAAAGCAAGGTTTGTTGAGACCAAATATCAACACAATCTGGTACTCACACTTGGTTTCCTGTTAATTGTCAAGCAGGGACCAAAGAAAATGGTTTATTTTTACTCAATTTACTTTCTTTTATAGGAAGAATTAAAGTCTTCAGTGAAAACAAAATTGTCCGAAATTATAGCGAAGGTTCACACTATGTTGGATAATGCAAATCTAGTGGAAATTGATGGTAAATACAATGATATTCTTCATAATTGATTTAATGATATTTTAGAACTCATAGTGATATTCGAATTCCATCAGATTGAAAATGAACTCTGAACGGCAAATCAGGATGTTTCATTTGAATGAAATTGCATATTTTCAAATCATTTCAATTTCTAACTGTAATGACCATATCCAGTTGCAAGATTCAGAATATTTAGAACAGGTTCTCTTTTGTATCCAACTCACTAACAACAGGTTCCCTCATTTCAGAAACTATAAGTACCGGTATGTCACTGCGTAAGCTGCATGACATATTATGATTTACAGGTAAATCTGATACATAACCTTTGAAACGTCAAAGATAACGATAGTTGTTGTCAGCTGCGGTGCGAGCAATCCATTTACTGCAGTCGTCTAACGTCTAAAAACTAGAACAGGTTTTCTGATTATGACAACATTTCAAGAACGGCTCTGCGCCAACCCTCTGATCCTATATGATCTAGTCTGGTATATCCCGTTAATCTTATCACATCCAGGGTGAGATGTCATACTCAGGCCATTTCGTCATTCTTTCTTTACCCAAGACTTGGTGGTGATGGGAGTGGATTCGAGCATCGCAGCCAAGTAGATTTATCTAAAGCGTGTCATGTTAATGTAGATTACGTAGTGACATACATACATTTTCTGAAATTAGGGAACCTTTTCTTAAAATTTGTTTCCCACCACATACTATAAAAAATACTAACTTTCCATTCTCATCTGATCTAAAATTTCATATTTTCTTTTTACCAGATTTGGTATCAAATACTGTTCCTGATTATGACAGTATTGTCTTGAACCTAAATGAACTTGAAACAAGATTATCAACAGCTTGTAACCTTGCTATGCAAGGTCATGCAATACATTCTTTAATACATATTCAAGGATCAACGGACCTTATATATAGAAGAGATGTTGTCTTCAGCCAAGTGGTAAGGAAATTTTTTTTTAAGTTTAAACAGAAGTCGAAAACAAGCCGTTTATCATAATATGTATACTATATAATAATATTGTGGAATTTCTCTTTATTGTATGCTTCTATTTTGAATGAAATATGTGGAAAAATGCATAAATTTACCATATACTATTTTCTTATGAGGGGTGTATTGTTCAGTGATTTTAGTAAAAGTATTCATGGTAAAGCTAGTGTAGCGCAAGATTTTCAATGTAATTTTTTTTCTTATGCACACTCCAAGAACCCTGGTCTCATAACAGAAGTACCATAATATATATCTATGAGAGAGCAATTTGTGTTAGTCCACTGGTTCTTATTTTTACAGTTTTTCAAAATTAAATGTATACTTTTTTTTCTTTCAGTTGCTCAAAATGATCATTTTTTAAATGCAACAACTCTAAATTATCCTAAAATTAAAATTAAAAATAACGAATATAATCAATTTCGTTTTGGACATCCCTGCACACAATAGAGATGTGTGGCTTTATCTCTAAATAATCCAAGAATCAGTTTAAGGCTATTAAGAGTTGAGCTGGCTTCCATGCTTTTCAATCTAGTAGCATTCTTTGTTCCTTAACACTAGATATATTTCTTTTAGTTGTCAAGTTGTGTCTGCGGAGTCTCCACTACACTGTTTTCGTTTATTCACGACACCGAATACCTGAACAATATTGCTAATCATGGAATGTTGATACATTTTGAATCTCTTCTAAGCACTTATAAAAATGAATTGGGGATGTTAGAGGTAATCTAATGGTTTTATATGTATTCATTTTATTTTTTTGAATAAAATACCTTGTTGGCTTAATAACGAGCAATTTTACGCTGTAATCCTTCACAGCAGGGGTCGGCAACCTACGGGCACTATAATCCGACGCGCGACGCTTCACTAAATTATAGTAACAAAATATCCCTTTTGATGAATATAATCTTTAGACTAAATTATATTATAACCTGACAATTATATAATCCACAATTACTCGTTCAATGAGAATATAATTTAATTATAATCAAGCAAATGGCAACAAATCGCAGAAAAGTTGATGCTGAGTGCAAAGGGTTCAATGACGCTGAAAATATTCAAATGGAATTTTATGAGATGCAATGAGGAATTAAATCTATACTCTATTCGAGAGATGTATCACTGCTTGATCTTTTTTATAAAAAGTACCATCCGTTCGGTTTTTCAACTTTCTAAAAATATGTGCGGCCCATCAATGACTTGCCACCTCAATTTTGACCGGCGAGCGACAAAAGGTTGCCGACCCCTGCTTTACAGTCTCAAAAGCTCTTGGCACTTCGGTGATTGCTCATAACTTTACTCAGAGATCAATCTTTGAGTTAGTATGTGTGCTTGCTCGAGCAAGATTCTATATAAAAAATTGTCTCGAATTTTCGCCAGGAGTAATTTATTCGTCCATTGTGCTTTATTTTAAATTGGGTTGTTTTAATACACTTTTTTTGTCCAATATGGGTTAGGTTGTTACTCTTGGGTACTGGCGATTGGGATTATTTTAATCAGAAGATTATATTAATCAGAATTCTAATGACTAAAGAATCCAATTCGTGAGCTACAAAACTGATGTTTATCAATATTTTTGCAAATTTTTTTTGGTGTAAAAACCAATGACTTGTTTTGGCCCCCAATGATCTACTTGTTATCTTTTTTCTTAATATCATATTTGTTTCGTTGTAGGATCACGTTGTTGGTATTTATGATTTACATAAAGTATCGTTTTGTTGTGAGAAATCGAAGGAACAAGATGGCGATGACATGGATCATTTGCTTCCTACTATACATGGAACCAGGAATAGAATCACTGTTAGGTGAGAAAAATACTTGAATAATATTTTTTTGCTGATTTATTGAGTTCATTTATATGACCTTAAGGAATTCTGAAGGTCGCATATGTGACCTTGATGGCTGATTGGAAATTTGGTCCGGAGGGGGTGTAAATATTTTCATACTGGGGTTGAAGTTGTTTGAAACTTAAATAAAGCATTCTGGTTTACCTCAAAAGTTAACCAACTCTGTATTTCAATGACTACAGTAATTTCAACAAAATTTTAGCCAAATGTTAAAAAAGTTGTACAAGATGTCATACAGAAAGTGTATGTACGATGTCATATAAAAATATTCCTATGTACTGTATTAAAATAAAAAGACAAATTTCAGGGTGAAATATTGGACTATGTAGAAATCAAAAATTTTAAAAATGAAGGTAATACCGGAGACAATACTTATTTTTAACAACAACATTTTTGTGAAACGATGAATGTGTACACTATGTGTCTAATTACCAGCTTTTTGATTTACTGTGAAATTATTTTTCATGTCTATTTCAGGTTACATTTAGATCCACAAACATTTGTTAAACTACCAGATTCACTAAGAAGTGGTGCACCTTTCAAGGTAGGTTGTGTATATCTTACTTCGGGCATTTAGACCAAGTACGAATTCATTTTATGTTGCATACATAATGTTGTAATATGTTGTCGTAATGGCTAAGGCAAGGATTTAAAAATTGTTTTACATAAGATTTTTGTTATTGGATGAAAATATATGCATAGTACAAGAAATGAAAAAAAAAATTTGCTTTGAATTTTAATTTTGACTATATATATATTTTGCAGTTGAACCATAAAGAAGTATAATTTTGAATATTTAGAAACTCTTCTTAGAACATCAATAATTTTTGATTTTTTTTAACCTCAGATATCGCTAAATTGAAGTCATTACAACATTATGCTATTTGCTTTTTTGGTAGGTGGTTCCAGTTCTTTTCAATATTGGAATCAATGAAGAACAAACGCTTGCGGAAAAAATTGGTAGCACATCATTACAAGATTGTATTAACGTAGAATCACTTTCTCGACTGTCATCATACAGTGAAAAAATTATTCAGGTTTGTTAATATTTTAATAAAAATGATATATTCCATGTTGCATTAAATTTCGATTTATTTATGAATAAAAATTTATGCTTGATTGGTTTGGGATTAGGATGAAACTAAATTTATTAAGGAATATCTCAAAAACATTTTGTACTGAAAATTTGGAATAACTTTCCAGATTTGATGAGAAAAGCGTTTTGTCTTGCCATTCAAGTTTTAAGGTATATGATATTTTCTAATCAACAAACCATCTCTCATTTAGGTTTGCATGAAAATATGCAAGCAGTATGCTTCTTAATTAATGCGCTTTCTGAAAACAGCAATTTTTATTGATTTATTGATCCTGGAATTTTTGCTTCCAAAACTAAAGTACATTCATTATGTTAATTCATGTCATGCAACCTGCGACCATAATTTTACAGAATATTGATCAAAAAGCTATTAATTTGCATACATTTACCACTCTCATTACATACCTATCGCTTTCTTTTTTCAGTTGTCATTTCCAAAATCTAATATATAATATACCGGTGATAATAATTCAAATGTCCCCAACTATACTCTTTGAGAGTTTATTCCATAACTAGCAACAATACGTTGATCTGGATTTTCAGAATTCAATGACAAGTCAAGCAGGTGAAATTGAAGCTAAATTGAATAAATTGAAAGAAGCAATCAATTTTTCAAAGAAAAATAAAAACGTTGAAATTTTACATCTTTCCTCAGAGGTAAGTGGCATCACACTCTTGTGGTTTTAACAGGATGAACACCAATTTGGTCAATGAAAGGCCGGTATAGCCATAAGCAAATAAATAAATATCATGAATACATACTGAAATAAGGTTTCCGAAATGAAATAATAGAATATACTCTATTGTTTCATTAACAGAGAAATTGGCAGATATTATTGTAAAATCATAAAAATTAAATTTCATGATGTATAATATGTATCCAGTCTCTGTTCTATGTTTATGTTAATACATAAAATGATTAGGATGAACTGAGTTTTGTATTACCATATATTACAATGTCTGAAATTGAATTCAATGGTAATTTTGTCTGATCGTGAGATGCCAAATAATCAGAATGACAAATTTTCATAATTACCTAACGAATAAAATTTTCAATTTTTGTGTATAATTTTCAATTTGTTACAGATATCCAGAATGTTAAAAGGTGTTCGTGTAACAAGCTGCAAAAGTGCGAAAGACAGGACTGCGATGTCAGTAACGTTAGAACAAGTTCAAATTCTAATTAACAATCATCAACTTTCACCTAACGAGTTCTCGAGAGCTCTCAACTGTATGAGGAGGTAGGAGATTTGTTCATGGGCATAATGCTAGTTCAACTCTGAATTGTTTTGATAAATACACCATAGTGTCTGTGACTGTCAATGGCGAAGTATGGCCTGCGGGCCAAATCCGACTCGTTGGGTTATTCAATCTGGCCCTGCTATAGGCTACGATTATGATCGTAGTCTGTGCAAGTTTTTTCTTAGGTTGCCACTGAATTTCATGATATGGGGACGATAACAAAACTTTACGGCCTCTCGATTTGGCGACATGTGTAACTTTTTACGTCACACTTACATGGCCCTCAAGTCTAGGTGGCCAAAATTTTTAGCCCCTGGTCCAGAAACTTGGCCCATCCCTGGTCTAAGATGTATCCTTATTTGGTTTCAGCAATGAAATTTTTTTATTTGAATATGTATGCCACAGTTCACTCCATTTTAGATTGGATCTGCGTTTTCAAAGTTGGTGTATAATTCTTAGGACCATTACAGTATTTTTCTTTTACAAGCATTGATTTTATGATTAAAAATATTCTTGACACACCCCTTCTACTTGCTCATCAAAAATGGAGGGTTTCATGTTTTAAGTTCTGTTAAGGTAAAATGAATGCAAATTGTGTGGAAAATAGACTGCAAGTTTCGCTCAGATCTGATCCATATTTCTCTCCGTTGAGAGTGAATGAAAAGTCAAAAAATATTTGTTCATATACCTTGCATTGGGTTAATGTCTATTACAAAGTCTTGCTATGTGCTAACTTTTCTGAGATTTGTCAAGATGACAACTTTTTAGATAAAATTTTAATTTCATGTGCATCATTGTCTCTGATAGCTCGTATATAGCTTGTATATATTATGACTTATATGTGCTATTATTTCTTCCAGTGAGGGTACAAGACGCGAAAACACACGAAAAAATGTTGGAGTACGAAAATATGCATTTACTTCAGTACAACTGATGACTTTTCCTAAATTATATAGACCTCCTGATGGAACATATGGAAAATCAGAATCTTGAAACTATTGTATTTAAATTTTCATTTATTTTCTGTATATGTTATAGATAGTCATATTTATCAATCTTTGTCTCCTTTTTTTTCAACTCATATGAATTTTTACTATATTACTGGTTATTCTCGATAATTAATATTTCATGTTAAATGCAGTATTCAGACGTTGTGGGTTATTTCATTTTCTGAAAAAAGTATGAAATAAATGGTTGGGGGCCTTGGCTAGAGGGTTAAATTACATCCCCCTCTTTCTTAGCCCCAGCGTTTGAGCTACTAACTACCTTACATGACAATATATGCATTTTTCAATTGTGGTTATAACGATATGATACTGCCTGCTATAGAAAATTAGTCTGTGTAGTTATACATATTATTTTTTCGAATTTCTGTAAGTACATTTTAATGTCTATTCATGTTGTTGTGCAATTGTTTCGTCGTTGTTTTTTGTGTTACTTTTGTTAAGTATAATTCGTTAAACGTATATTGGTATTTGATAGAATTACATAGCACCCCTAGTAGTTTAATCTCTACCTTTGTCATGTCTTACTTAAATAAAAAATGGTCTGTCTGAAAAAATTGTCATCAGTTCTTAAATCAATTGAACTTGTATATTTGGAAGTAGTATCACATAAACAGCTGGTTATCATTATTCTAGCTTCCCATCCATCCACTGCTTATTACCGGCATGGATTCAAAGGTTTAAATCTCATTGCTGTTATTTTGTTGTCACACAGTGGCTCTTGTAACTGCTGGTCGGTTACAGATTCCACGGATGTATGGATTGGTAGACAAAATAGAGGCCGTTGTTTGCGTTATGTTTAAAAACTTTTGATTCTCTGCTCTCCCTGTGATGAATATGTTAAAAACACCTTCCCTAAGAATTATTGCTCCAGCTTTATTCCTATTCTTTCATACATTATCTACCGGTAACTTTCAATTCCACTCCAATTTTATTATCTGATATATCACTCTTTACACATTATATACTCGTTTTTTGTCTTCTGCTTTATTACGAATGGCAATATTTATAAGCATTTTAGTCTCACTTGTTCAACTCTGTTGAAATATATTACAAAGTGGTAAAGAAAGTATAAGTCGGAAATTAAATCCTTGGCATTATAACTAATTAAACTGGCAATATAATTCGAACTCAGTTCCATGAGGTGACAATGGCACAACGTACCGTGGTTTACCATTTGATTAAATGGTGCAATATATTCTTTCCCTCTCCCAATATTAATATGAAATCGTATTCTAATCATAGTAATTTGTTTCTCCTTGTAATGTTAGCCAAATTGAACAGTGCATGCCCGATTTGAGATAAATCTGACCGAAACCCTTGTCATATCATAGTCTTAAACATTGAATTTGTTATATTTATGAACGAAGATCCCTGAAATGCCGGAATATTCTTTACAACCACAGTCAATTTGTGAAGTGTTTTGGTCGAGTTTCTGTGTTGTGCCATCAGTTACGGGTATTGTTTAGTATTTCTTTTTTGAAAAGTGTGGACAACAATCGCTTGTTGTCGTCGTCATCGATATTATACATTATGTTTTTGACACATATTATAACTTCAATAAACATTCAATAAAAAAAGAAATTATGGTATTTTTTTATAGGTCAAGGTGTATGTAGCCTATAGCAAGATGATCGGCTAATCTGAAACCATTTCAAAATCTGATACAAATGTCATATTCCTAATGTGACGATGTTCGTACTGAGCGTTAGGAATACGCTCGCCAGGTCCGGATCCCGTAAGAAATTATATGCGAGAGGATTGCTTGACTCCTCGCTGCCCCAGGAGGGTTTATGTAACCGCTCATAGGTTATGGCTTGCTCCGCCATCTAGCCCATGCATCTGAAACAAACTGACTGACTAATCAGATACTCTACATGGAATGGTAACCAGAGAGGCTGTGGTTTTTAGTAGCGCAGTGTATTGTTAGATGGCGAGTGGGGGACGATCTTATGAATGACGACATATTATGTGAATGAAGAGGATTACCATGGCGATTTGCAAATGAAGCAGTTGGATCATAACAAAGCTTATCAATGAGATATCTTGTCATCTCTATGGGTGGTAGATCACATATACCGGAGCATGCCTGATAAAATAGAATCAATTTGTGTAAGTTCAAATTTATTCATGGCTGTCGAAATCAAATAACTGACTTAAGTTAGTTAACAATTTCCGCTAGTCAAGCACACTATTCAACTACCCTACCGAATACCGATACCAACATCACTTCTGCCTATCGACTGTCCGGGCTAGTCAATTCTATGATAGTAGTGAGGTAACAATGACCACCGGCTCACGGATACTAACGCCCGGGTCAGAGTTTGGAACTTTCTGCGTTTAAAGTTTGCGTAGTATAGGATCTTCAAAATACCGATTCAATCAAAATACTAACGGGTCACACTTTTTAGTCCCTGATTTATGCAGGTAAGATTCTTTACTCCCATCGCGACGAACGTCTTTTCAGATTGGTTTCGGGTGCAGTTATTATCATAATTAGTATTTCGCGTCTGGAAAAAATATTAATTTTTAGGTTCCCTTTGGCGGATTTTTTTCAGAAGCATAGTTTGACTTTAAGGCAATAACATGTACAGTTTTCCAAATACCACTTAGCAGGTAAAACAATCACGTATAACACTTGAGGAGAATAGATTGGAAAAATAGGAAGGCACATCGATTACCTTCTGTACGAAGCGAATGTTTGTGACATTTCCATCGCATACAGGTACGGGATATGACAACTCCAGCTGTGATTGTCTCTTAATCTTTCGGGATTGTGAGAATGATTGTGGCATTTTTCAGTGATTGACGTCATCAGCTCTGTTTAAATTCGAAACTGGTTGGTATGGCGATCATTTGTTCAAATATAGATCTACTTATTCGTTTTTGTTGCAAAAAGTGGTCAGTTCTACGAAACTAAACATGGGTAACGGTATATCCAATGAAAATATAAAAGCGATCGTGAAACGAACAAGGATGAGAACGAAGGAGTACGAATCAGCTATTGCTAAATTAACGGAAAGTAAACCAACAAGTCCATCTGTATCGGAGAGAATCACCATATGGATTGATGTTCAAGGACGTCCTGAAAAAGTGAATCTAAGAAAACGATCATCCCCTGCAGAACAACGGCGAGCTATTGCTACTCACTTCGGACTCTCTCCTGCTGTTCAGATCGAAATAAGCGACCCGCAAGGAAATTTGATTATCGATGAACTAGAAGCAAATGCTCCCGACCTACCTTACTTGATTGAATGCAGAATGACATTGCCGCCAGAACTTGATGGAGCGGCAGCCCAAGTTACAGGCGGTGCTGAATTTGAGGCTTTACTGGAAGGAATCGTGACTTCCATGAGCATCGACGTTTGGGAGTACGAAACAAACCAACTGCTCCGCTTGATTGAATTTATGTTTCTTGATCTTGGCGTTTTAGACGAGTTGAAAATAGAGATGGCCGATCTTCATACATGGCTTGTGGCGGTTGAACACAACTATCGTACTGTCCCATTTCACAACTTCCGCCATGCGTTTTCAGTCACTCACATGATGTACTATATCATCAGAGAGTGCGACCTTTCCTCTATGTTCACCACGCTTCAACTTGGTGTCTTGCTTGTCGCATGTATATGTCATGATTTGGACCACCCGGGACTGAATAACATGTATCAAAACAAGGCAAAAACCGATATCTCTTTGCTGTATGAAAACTGCTCTCCGCTAGAACATCATCATTGTGCAGTTGCGTTTCAAGTGTTTTCCGTGGAAAGCCTGAACATATTCAGAAATATTTCCGAACAGGTTCAAGGAGCCGTTACCACCATGATCATTGAGCTTATTCTTGCAACGGATATGGCACTACATAATGAAATCTTAGAAGAGTTTCTACAGAATGTCAAAAACGGGTTCAGCATAGACAACGCAGAGCACTCCCTGTCTTTGCAGAAGATTCTAATCAAATGTTGTGATATTTCTAATGAAGTTCGCCCACTAGAGTTTTCAGAACCTTGGGTGGATAGACTTCTCGAAGAGTTTTTCTTTCAAGCCGACGTCGAGAAGGAGGAAGGCTTACCAGTTGCGGGATTTATGGACCGCGATAAAGTTCACAAATCACGTGATCAGTTGAAGTTCATTCGAGCCACTCTCATGCCGCTTTTTAACGGCTTATCAGATGTCCTTCCACCTTTGAGAAACGTAATGTCCAATTCCCTCATAGAATCTGAGCGGTACTACGAAAGAATGACAGACAAGGAATCTAAGGCTGAGAATGAAACTAAGACTACCCCGAGCAAGTAAAGGCTATAATGAAGTTACTGGTTACGCAGTCTGTTTTAATTATGCTAATTGTGTAGTTCAGAATTGAGTGTACATATAGCTTGCATGTATGAATTTTACACTCGTGTTATTCCTTTCGGCTGTTATTTGAACTTTCTTGTGAAACTTTATGCTCGTTTTTTTGTATGCATCTCATTTATGCGTCTTGTTATATTGTGTACTTGAGAATTGGCATTTTACAAATTTAAAATAAAAAAATGTTTAGGTATCTAGCTAAATAAAATGTATGGATGAAATTCGTCATGAGTCTTGTCCATTAATATAGATCTAGAATAATTGTTATCAATTCAAATTGGCGTTGCTCTATTCAAGTACAGAACAATTTTTGAGTGTGATATTTGTATGTGCTGCTGGGGTGCCAATGGGGCAGTTTTATGACTCCACATGTTATGTACTACTGTAGCATAGTGTTGTCCATGTACCATATTTCCGTTTTATATATTAACTCTGTTTTTAAAAGAAATTTGATAAGATTCTTTATGAGAAGAATTTTCTGTTTCTGTCTTAAATTGAAAATTTCATTGAAGTGTATAGTCCTCATAAAAGTTTGTTTTTGTATATTATATATATGAGGTGTTGTTTATTCCGAGTAATTTCGCTATAACAACTCCTAGCCCTATTGACAGGTTCTGAAATGAACTTGGCGTCGGAAAAATTTACAATCGAATCCCAACTAGCCAATTAAATTAATTTTTGCCGCTCCAACTCCACTTCAAGTAAATTTCAGGGGGCAGTCGCCCCGGGCAGCACGTTGTGGGGGGCAGCAAAACGAAGCTGTAGAGCTAACGTTATAACACGTGTTTTTATTTAATTAAAATCATTAGGTTATAGTTTAGGCTGACATTAGGTTACAGTTTTGTGTAAGTCATTGTGGTGATGGTGAGTCAACAATGGATGTTTTCCCGACCCTTGACCCCAGAAAAATTCTCCATCTGATCTTTTCCAATGACGACAGTTTCGCGCGCACGCATTACAGCAATCAGTCGCACAATTCGATTCCGGATGACGCTGATGATTTTGATGAGGTGAGTGCTAATGCTGAGGCAAACTGTCACTTTGAATGATGACGCTGAAGGTAACAATAACGATGGAAATTTTATCGAATTATTTCGTGACCACGACCTTGGGCGTTTAAGGAAACCGATATCGACACATTTAGTGAAATTTTAGTTCAGCAAGGACCAGAAAAATTTCAACACAAAGAAGGTCCTTTTGCTAAAAGAGAAGGAAGATCTCTCTAAGCATTGGCTCGAAACTTTGTCAAGTAATGGAGAGTGTTTGCAGAGAAAATGGCTGATATAGAGGACTTGCACGGGTCACGTGACATTGTTACTGGACGGCAATAAAACAAAAACGTCCATTTGGCTTCTGTCAGTTGCAAGTCGGATTATACGTTTGCGTTTTGTTTGGTTGTTGAAAATGGTTATTTCGTTGTTCCGTTGGCTGTACGTATAGTATAGACATTGTCGAAATGGACCTTCAGTAATATTCCACTGATTTCAAAAGATCCTGAACGTCGCGCAATGTGGATATCATCTATTGCCTATTGGCAGAACTGCTTGGTGTCAAGTCCACAAGCCATCTTACTTGTGTTTCACTGTTTGCGGACAGCACTTCGTTGATGGTGAGTGATAGTGTGCCGTTATCAATTTCTTTAAATATTCACAAGCTCCCTCATTTCAATGGAAAGCAGATGACAAACTACTGTTATCAGTAGGCCTAGGCGTGGGCCTACTTGCAGTTGCAGACTTGACTTGTGTAAGACAGTAAGGGATTAATAATCAATAATCAACTACTGTTATTAGTAGGTCTAGGCCTAGTTGCAGACTTGACTTGTGTAAGACAGTAAGGAATTAATCTAATAATCAACTACTGTTATTAGTAGGCCTAGGCGTGGGCCTACTTGCAGTTGCAGACTTGACTTGTGTGAGACAGTAAGGAATTAATAATCAATTACTGTGAGGACGAGGTATTGTTTCCTGATTAGCAGGTAATCTATTACTAAGTGTGAAAGGTTGAATAGATAACTAAAGTTTAACACTACTGGTCATGCAAAAAATAACCAGAATTCAATTTAATTCGCCATCTAGGAATACGCTCGCCACCGAATCTCTGATCACCCTGGTAGTTTCACAGGTTTCAATCTCATGCGGGGATAGTTATTTGCTAGAGGATTGCAGCTCCACTCCCACCGAGGGTGGTTCACATGACCGCTGATCGGTTACAACCATTCCCCACCATCCAAGTCCATGCTTCTGAAAACAAATAACTGGCTCCCCCCCCCAGATAAATCCTATCCTAATGGTGCTTGTACAACTGATTCAAAATGTCTTTTTATTGTCATTGGTAAAAAAGATATGCTACCCGGAATCAAATTCATTTACGACTAGTGGCTGTGGTGGGATATGGACATAAATTTCACCCGGGCTGGGCATTTCGAATCGAATAGTAAATTATTCGAATCGGTTCAGACTGGAATTTCGAATCGCCGCCATCTTGTTTTTATCTTTCCGCTAATGGTCGAGGTGAGTTCCCCAATTTTTTTTTCATTGAAGTCATATTTTTTCAACGAAATTCTAACATATGACTATTTTCTGTAGTGAGTTATTGATAAAACGTGTTTGTTATTCTGTGTGAACGCTCAGTAATCTATCTGAGTGATTTATTCTATGTCTTCAGTAATTCATTTGTTGAGGGGACCAATTACTTTGATAAAGTCGCTTACAATTTTATATTTTCAAGTATTCGATATTCGATTCGAAAAAATTATTCGATTCGATTCTGAAATCACAAGGTATTCGAAAATGCCCAGCCCTAAATTTCACACTCCTTGATCGTTAGATTTTATGAAAACTCTTATCTGTATCCATTATATTACAGATATGGGTGCGACCATGGAATAGATTGATGGCAAAGTATAAGTTGCAACAAGACCACAGTGGCACAAGACCTCAGCTTGCGTGACTTGATAATACATCCTCAGTATCCATTTATTAATGCTTATCGTAATGACAAAGTAACTTGTCATTACTGTGGATTGGTGGAGATAAAGTGTCCATTGTGCTTTAACGAAATCATCTTCAAGACACCCTATCAAGAAAAAAAAATTGTTTCGGTGGGTCTGGTCGTGAAGGTTTCAGTCTAACGTTGGACACCGATACTACAACCAGATAGAAACTTGAGCGAGGCGTAATATTGCGACTTTGTGATCTGAAAGGAAATTCTGATGGATAGCCAGCTAGCCGCAACCTTTTTTTTAAAGAATATTATGAGATACGACTTAAGAGTCTAAACTTTTATTTGAGAGGGGTGTAACCCAAGCTAATTTGCAAATAGTATTCATGGTACCAAATGTATCACACACTTTACAGTAATTATAAATTATATTTGAAAAATAAAGCACATCAAATGTATTTTTAAAAAACAATTGGTTTTATCTGCAGATACTAGGTTGATATTGAGATTGACCATTTCAATGCTAAATTTTCTCTAGTCAAAAGGCACACTTGATTCGCAAAAATTTGTGAATGCGCACAGTACACCAATTTGTCTAATGTTTTGATTCCATAGGCAGGAGGTTGTGGATCGGTGCTGCTCAGGATGGGATTTTTTTGCCTCTAAATGCATATTATGTGTATTTTCACATGAATCCATCGTGCTCAGATTCGACTGTTTTCAAGGTCTGAAGGCTCCAACAGCCTTATTTTATGGGTACACAAGAGAATTTTCAGTGTGGCATGCATGGGTCAGTTGGAGTCACTAACCTCAAGATATCTATAAGCAAGGATAAGATAACCTGGAAGTAACATTCCATAATTTAGAGTAAAAAATGTATCTGCCTCCACAGCCCTTTCAAATGGAAGATATGATGCCTCGGGGGTAATTTCTATCAAATATTTTACAGTATTATGGTTCTAGTGAAAAGGGGTGTAGGCGGCTTTTTTTTAAAGTGTGGTAGGTCTAGTCGAAAGACACATTAAATGTTTATGCTAACAACTGCGAATTAATATTGCAACGCATACAAGTTAACAGAATTTGTTGAAATGGTTCTGCCTTTTTCCTTTCTTCAAAATCCTCCTTTTTCTAACTATTCTCTTCTTCTCTGGGGATGGCGAAAATTCAAATATCGATGGGACATGTAAGCAGCTGATAATGGGTTATCTTCCCTTTTTCCTGAAAATAAATTAAACACTAATCATCATTTGACAGTGCCAAGTTTGTGTATCAGATCACTAATAAATTACCTGCTAACTACCAAAACAATCAGACAACACCTTCTGACCATTAATGAAGATTTCTTTCAATTTAAAACGCAACTATGCCTACCAATGTGGGTAGTTTTTAGGATAGAATTTATCTGTGGTTGGGGACAGATTGCAAGGTGCAACATCGTACGATTACCATTCTATGTCGGGATTAGTTAGCCAGTTATTTGTTTTAGAAGCATGGACTTGATGGTGGGGGATGTCGTAATCGACCAGCGGTCGTGTGAACCACCCTTAGTGGGAGGAGAGCTGCAATCTCTTCGTCCCCTCGCACATAACTATCCCCGCATGGGATTGGAACCTGTGAAACTCCCAGGGGGATCAGAGATGCGGTGGCAAGCGTATTCTCAGATAGAGAATTCAATTGAATTCTGGTTATTTTTTGCATTAGCCCTGGCATTAAACTTTAGTTATATATTCAAATTTTCACACTTACTAATAGATTACCTGCTAACTATGGAAACAATACCTTATGGCAATTATTGATTAATACCTGACACGAGTCAAGTCTGCAAGTAGGCCTAAGCCTACCAATAACAGTAGTTTGTCATCTGCTTTCCATTGAAATGAGGGAGCTTATGAATATTTAAAAAAATTGATAACGGCACATCATGACTCACCATCAACGAAGTGCTGTCCGCAAACAGTGAAACACGAGTAAGATGGCTTCTGGACTTGACACCAAGCAGTCCTGTCAATAGATGATATCCACATTGCGCGACGTTCCGGATCTTTTGAAAACAGTGGAATATAGCTGAAGATCCAATTCGTTGTCTATACTATACGTACAGCCAGCGGAACAATACGAAATAACCATTTTCAACAGCCAAACAAAACGGAAACGTATAATCCGACTTGCAACTGACAGGAGCCAAATGGACGTTTTTGTTTTATTGCCGTCCAGCAACAAGGTCACGTGACCCGTGCAAGTCCTCTATATTCGCCATGCAAACAGGCAGCCTTTTGCTCTGTCTGTTTTTTATTTTTAAAATGTCAATCAAGTTTTTGTAACGAAAAAGGATTTCGCAGCTGGAGAAAATTGAATCCTCGAATTTATAAGCATGAAAAAATTCCGGGTCACAGAAATGCAAAACGTGAATATTTGGATTTTGAAGCACGACTTGAAAAATTATGTGTAATTGATTATGAACTCCAAAGCCATATTTCAAGTGAGAAAGGGAAATGGCGACTTATTGTTGAACGAATTGTCGATGTTGTTTTCCTTCTGTCAAGACAGAATATTGCGTTTCGAAGTCACAGAGATGAAAGAGTTTCAAAGTTGGTTAACGATAATGCTTACGAAAACAATTCTGGAAACTTTTCGGAAATAATCGGACTATTGGCAGATTATGACGTTGTTTTGTTTGAACATTTACAGAATGCGAGGAAAAACCCCAACAAAGTCAACTATCTTTCGAATAAAAGTCAAAATGAATTAATCAAACTTATTGCCGGTATAATTAAGAAGAAGATTATTTCTGAAGTAGAGAAAGCCAAATATTACACTCTGATGTTAGATTCTACTCCAGATATATCACGTGAGGATCAAATTGCCGAGATCTTGAGATACGTTCACATCAGTGAGAATAAGGATATCAAAATTAAGAGGTTTTTCTTTGTTTTTTTCAAGCTTCTGAGAAAAATGCGGCAAGCTTAGTGGAAACGGTGATTGAGAAATTGAATGATGATGGAATTGACATAAAAATTGTCGAGGACAAGCCTACGATAACGCGGCTGTTATGAGTGGTGTACGAACTGGAGTACAAAAACGAATTTTGGAAATCAATCCACAGGCCCAGTTTGTCAATTGCGAAAACCACAGCTTAAATTTAGCATGTGTTCATGCAGCTGAAGTTCATCCAACAGTGGTTACATTTTTTGGTATTATGGACAAAATTTTTTTTTTTTTTTTTCATCTTCAACAACACGTTGGGAAGTACTGAAGTCAAAGGTTAAGAAAACTTTCAAGAAGCATTGTGAGACCAGATGGAGTTCGTACTACAACGCAGTTGAAGTCATCCATGAAAATTTTCACGAAATTATATATATATTGTCTCGAGTATTTTGAAGATGGCAAATTTTCAAGTGAGACCAAATTTGATGCTTGTTTACTTCGCCATTCGTTGCAGCATTCGTTTCTCTCTTGAAATTTTGGTGCCCTATTTTGTCATCCGTTCAGAGAGTGACAAAACGCTTACAAGATCCCAAGATCGATTTAATTCAGGCAAGTGATGATCTTGATGGGCTTAGTAGAATTATTGATCTGAAATCTGAGGACATTATTAAGAATGCAGTCAGATCGGCATCCGAATACTGCGAGGAGTGGAATGTACCATTGACAAGAGTCAGGCGAAGAAAAATGATGCCTGGAGAAAGTGTGAAAGACTGTGGCTTATCAGCAATTGAGGAAATGCAAAGAATTATGAATGAAATCGCAAACAGACTGAAGACCGTACTTTCAGAACGCTCAGGCCGCGTTAGTAGACTCGCTGACAAGTTTTCCTTCTTATTAAAGTTGGACTCAATTGATGGTGAAAATATTGAACATTTGAAAACCTTGAAACGACAGTGCGAGATTTTTTCTAACCATTTTGAGACTGACGTAAACTCATCCTCCCTCTACGAAGAAATAGTTGATTGCATTACGCTTTTCCGAAGTGGAAACAGAAATTTTCCAAAAAATGCTAAAGATTTTCTTGCCTCATTGGTTGGGCTTGACTGTGATGTTTTTCCAACTTTATGCATTGGATATCGTTTATTACTCACAATTGGCTACTCAATTGCTAGTTGTGAATGATCTTTCTCAAAGTTGAAACAGATAAAAACATATTTGAGGTCTTCAATGTCAAATCAGCGCCTGTCAGGTTTATGTTTGATAAGCATCGAAAAAAAAATTCCTGAGAAGTGAGGTGAAAAAGGCTGTCGTTCAGACATTTGTTGACAGCAAAGTAGCAATTGGACATAGAAATAATAAAAAGTGGCTTTCCTTCTTTGTTATGTTTGTTGTTTAGCTTGACGATTTATTTAATAAAACAAACGTTTTTATCTTACTTGATCTTTATTTCATTTATTCTCATGTATAACGACATCTATAAGCTGTTTAACCCCCGAATTATTTATGAAGTTAGCTATAAGGGGCAGCATTTTAGAAACTCGCCCCGGGCAGCAGAAGAGTCTGGCACGCCCCTGATAACACGACTCCGGCTCTTTGGAAACATGTTAATTTCCGACCACATAACCCCTTTACTATCTTTGGATTGAACACTAGAGTGTAGTGTAGAGTAACCTCACATTTGCATTTATAAGACTCTGAATGATCGAGATAAAAGTCCGCATCGGTAGAAAAAATATTCGATACAAAATTTTCAAAACTAATTTCGCACCGCAACCTTGGTAGTTAAAAGCACTCTAATATCGTGTGCCTACGCTACGGCATCGCAGAGTTAATTAGGTTTGAAATGGAATATTGCGTTGCTTCATAGAGAAGTATTTTTATAAATTCGTATCGTTTATATTTGATGTTCAAAAAGAATGATAGGTAGAGATTTATCAGCGAAAGGAGCGAGCTTCAATAAAGATTGACTGCTAGCCAGTCTTGAAGACAGTAAAGCAGACACAACACGTCAGGACAATGATCAGATAGTACTATGTCTGTATGACGGTTCGTGAATATCCATTGAGTGTCACGAGCGAGACTATAACCATTCACCACCTAGTTAAGACTGCTCTCTGATTACCAGCAAATCAATGAATGTGATATTTAATCCAGGAGGCCCTACATGTAATTAATACCTTAGTTTAACGTTATCTTGTTGATTGCTGCTAGGGCCGTCCTGACCAATTTCTGCAGCGAGCGAATACGTCGCACGAGGTAGCCTCATGCCGAAAGCGCGCGTAAACAGGATCGTTAATGAATATTCCAGAATTGTTTTGCATGGTCCTGTTATCAGCATTCAAATTCTTCTTTTAATGTTTTAATTACGTGTCAAAGCATGTTGTTTAATGACGTTTTGATGGTAATGTGTGATTGAACATTGGGATGTACAGTTTGAAATACACTTGCTGACAGCGCATTTCAATCTGGTTACATTTGAGAGTGTGACATTTCTATATCATGATTTTGTCACCAATAGAGTTTCTTTCTCGTTCAAGAGTTTCAGTGTTTTTCAATACAGCTGGGGTCACAATAAATTTGTCACGTTGTGTTTTTGAAGTTTTCTTGAGATGGTCTTATCGCGTCTTGGTGGACGAACCCGTTCCCCGATGTGTACTTTGGAATGGCGCGCAGATTCCGGGAGATATCTTCAAAATCAACAGAAGAAACAACGGTCGATTGTGGCTTGTATATTCTGTATTGACAGCGTGCTATAAGTTTGCTTGTCCATTGAGATAATATTAACATGGCAGAGAAGGTTAAATAGTTCGATGAAGGTAACTAAATTCTAAGGAGATTAAATTTATATTGGAGGCGAACTTGGCGAAGTCCAGTTTATGAATCATCTAAGCAGTTTTAGTATTTCTTTTACGCGTGGATAATTTAATATGTTTCGTAAATTCTGATGATTGTTGCATGTTAAAAAATACAAATGAAGCATGTTTTATTTCGATCATCGCGAAATTTTCGAGTCATTATGAGCAAATGTTGCTGATATTGTAGAACAGGGAATGTTTCATTTGGTAGTCGAAAACCGCACGATGCCTTCGTTGGAAGCCTTGTCTACTTACCTAACGAACGATATATTTTTACTCTGTTATAATTATAATGAAATTGATCTATTTACATGCAGTGGACACGTTTTTATTTAATTAATATTGTTCGGGTATAAATAATATTTTTGATAAGACATATCGTGGACAAGTCAGAGATTCAGTAATTAATATATATGGAATATCTCTATATTCATTTTACTGAATTAAGAGTAACAGGGGTTTTAACTAACATTACCTTTATTCATTGATATATATATTGTTTGAAGTATATTTATATTTCCCGCATTTTTGCCTCGTTTTGTTTTAAATTTGAGCGTGAACTGATGAATTATTTTCCTAACGAGGCGGTCATTGCGGTTTTGCGGCGGTTGCAAAACGTCTTTGTCGCCCGCCAGATGCCTGTGTCATCGCCGGCATTCCGGAAGCGGCGAAGAGTTAATTTTTTGAAGACAGGATATCCAATTTAGTCCCACACAACTCGTCGTGAGTATAAGCTCATTTTAAGATTGCGATTTTTATTTTTTGCCATAAAAATTGACGTTTAACTGTAATGCTAACGGTGGTTACGGAATACTTTCAGAAGGGTCCTAATGAGTCGCAGAAAAGCAACAGTATCGTGATATACATAATAGAGTATAAATTAGATAAATCGCATTGGATTTATAAATTATTTGATGTAGAATGCAGTTGGCTAAAAAGAAATGAATGCCCAAATAAAATGGCCACAAAATTGCGCGGTTCGACAATCTTCAAGAACGTAAATGTGGGAATAAATGCGTCAGATGTTCATTTTAGTTTTCACTACTGATCGCCTTGGCAGAGAGTCATCTGTTGTTAGTATAATGTCGATTTTGACCCGAAATCACTCTTGTTATTCGAAGACGAAGATCACCTTTGGGATTAGGACGTCAGATGACAAAATTCGATAGGATTTTGTACGCGGGTGTAATCAGTTATACATTATTAGGTAGAAAGCGAAGATGCCGTAGCTACAGAATTAAAAAGAATAAAATCAAAATTATTGCAAAAAGAGAAGAAGAGCATGCAAAAGAGACTGAACGTCAGTGCGCTTTTCCTTCGCCTTCTTCGTGAGTGCTAATCCGCTTTCAGTTTCCGCAGTGGGAGATAGTCGTTAAGTGTGTGTTGTGTACTGGGAGGCTTTTTTCAACGCGTAGAACCGGGTTGAATAAATTTCTAGGTGAAAAAATAGTCTAAATATTTTTTATAATTGTTGTTTAGTTAGGCGGAAACATAGACTAGTAACAAATTCTAAAGCTTACCTTGGTGGGAACAAACATGTGAACGCTAAAAGTTACCGCTTTATTTGCAGTGATTGTAAAAAGAATTTAGATTTACAGTAGTTTAACTAATATCAGTACATACAAATAATCTCATAAATGTCGGGCAGAGCGGATATCACAATGCCGTGTCTTGAAAAATAAGTTTGAATGTTTCTGCTGAATGCGGTGCCACAGCAACCTTTGAAAGGACAACCCTTAATAAGAATATAATAATAACAGTAGGAAATATTTTTAGGTCATGCATTACTCTCAATTGGTAAACTTTTGCTCAAGTTGCCGGTCAGTCACAGCTTCTGGGTTCGGACCTGCAGACAGGTTGTCGAGTGCCACTCAAGCGTTGATTACGCATGTCAAAAAGGCGAATCGAATTGTGTTTGAGTTGACCTCGTACAAAGGATAGTTTGGCACCGGTATCTTGGGCAACTGCTACGTTGGAATGGGATATTAGTGTATTTTACAGAAAATCATCTTGTTAGACATTGAGTTCATACCGTCAGCCATCATAGCAAGTTTAGTAGAAATTTGATGCAAAGTATCCCGCTGGTATCGTGCAATTATACAATGTATTATATGGTGAGATTACTTGCACTGACATTGTCATTGTCTGTATTGCGCGCGTGTGGATTCAACCTACTACTCGGTCGTAAACTTCGATGTTTGTTTGCATTAGTGCGATGGTCACATTGCGCGCGAAAGCCGTAATTTTACGGTTGCTGTTAATCCAATTTGTGACCTGTCGTAAAACAAATTTTCTTTTTGTTTATTGTACTATGCAGTTCGTTACCGGTAGGGCGAGTAAGTAACGTTAGCATTGGAAATATATCACGTATGCCTGCCTATACACGCAACATATGAAGTGAAGAATAGATGCCGTGATTATTGAAGTTAGATTTTACCATCCTACCGGGACTTTTTAAAACAGGCGAGCTGAAAAAACTGAAACTATTGAATGGAACAGTCAAATCATCTTTGAATAGTGGATTTAAAGGAATACTACGAGACTACAACGGAATACACCAATTTAAAATTCAGTCAATAACTTAGAAATTTATGTGTTTTAGAAGAAAAACGAACGTAACAATGCAGTTTGTTTTCCTGTCGGCATTACTTATTTTTGGATTTGTTTTTGAAGGTGAGTTAACTTAAGTATATTTTCATGTTATAGTTCAAATGTGATATCGCTTGAGGTATTTATGGGAAATGCAATTAAAACCCCCAAATTTCTACTTGTTGTCTATTTGTTTATAGATAGGAATCTTTCTCTTCGGCAGAGATATACCTTTGGTTTCAAGTAGGCTAGGCCATCAAATGTAGATAATCAAATTGTTAGCATTTTCTGATAACGTCGTGACCAGGATTAAAATAATAGTTGGAAATGAAGTTACAAAACTTCACGATATCAAAAGGATTTTCGTTCTTAGCTTTCCGGCACAAAAGCAATTAGAGTGACCATGACTGGCAATTACTACACACGTTTAGTGCACTGGTGCGTTAAATGGGAAGTTGTAAGATCATAAATCTATATAAATCCCACATTACTTGCAAGTTCAAAGAAACAAATCGCATTAAAATGAGTTTGACGACTCTCGCTATCATACTTTGCCAGATTTTATTTACATCGCTTCTGACGAGAATTCCATCTCAGGCTCCCAAGTTTGGAATACCATTGGAATTGGAACACAAAGTATTTTCGAACTCTTGCTGTTAAAAGTGTTTTGTGTCCAAATCACACAGTTTTACTCCGTAAAGCAGCCACAAAGAGTTGGTAAAGCAGTAGATGATAATAACTATTGTGGTGAAATTACAATTATAACCATATCGCCTCAGCGTAAAATTTTTGACCCGTTAATATTTATATGCCCATCTGATTCATTCATTCAGCTTGGGGTATATATCATATTATTGACAGAGAATCAATTATTCGAGGAACTACGAATTACAAACCATTCTATTTGGGGGACTTAATTCCAACTAAATATTTTCAGTAATTTATGCCGCTGGTATTTACATAAGTGTTTAGCGAATCTTACCATCACCCCGATAAATGCAAATCCCCAATATATGTCAAAGAATGAAAATTGCATAGGAAATAAACTATGTGTTATTTTCATGCGTCGGATACATACGGCATTCTCGCGTATACTTCAATGTGAAAATTTGTAATTAAACGAATAAAGAAGTGATCCAACTTCTAAAAAAGGTCTAAAATGCATTTGGAAATATTCACTCCTACACCAAATTAGTATTGGTACGTCGGAAAACTTTTTGTCACGTGGGATTGAAATGCGCGCGATAATTGGGAAGGGTAGGGGTACCCAGTTTCGACTCTCCTTGAGCAAAAAAAATTCATAGTATATATTTTACTTGAATCTCTGAGTAAGACAAGAATGAAATATTGAAATTTGACTTGCTCTTAAATTATGGATCGTAATAAGCACGAACATCGACTTTCCTACTCTGAGCAGTATAATTTTCACATCGCATATGGCGTTACTACCAAATCGAAACGGATTATCTACCTTTAGACGGACACACTGTAGTTGTCACATCTTTTGAAATTGTAAACAGATATGATTTAAATAACTGACTAAAAAGCAAATGATTGGATTAGCTTTTGCGCTTTTTATTTTTGTTGGGATAGGAGGTGACATGGTTGGACCAAGTAATTGGATTTTTTTACATTACAAACATCGAATTACTGAACATCCGTTTAATATAAGAATATGATACTCATACAAAATTATTGTTACATGTTATTTTATATATGAACTAATTATATCATTATTCTCCTAGAATAAACAGCAGGTACAGAATAAAATAATATTTAAAACGAAATATGTACGGTAATTTAACACCCGAGCAGGTATACCAAGAAAAGACTTGTGTTAGCTTGACTTCATTTGTGAACAAAATAGGGTGATTTTATTGGACAAAAATCGGTACAAAAATCAGTTTTTGTGATATTGTCAGTAGTTATAATATAACGTACGCACTTGACTGTTCATACCAAACATTTGGGACTAGCATTAAATATATGGTGGCAGATAATATTTTGACTGACCCGCATTGAGTTTCTGCAAAGTCAGGCTGACATCTGTTTTGAGTAACTCCAACCTCGCAACGGCTTGACCGATGGAGCGAAAACAAAACACCAATTAGTGCGAGTCTATGCGATCCTCCTGAGTGATTAAATTTTTCTCGCCTATGCTTGCTTGTTAATTTACTTCATTTAGCCGTGTAGGAAAATTTTGTTTCAAAAGCTGTCTCAAAATTTAACAATATTTTTGAATACAACGTCTTATGAAAACCGGACATTCAATTGTTTGAACAGGCATAAAATTAGTTATTCTACCCCAAATTTAGCCTTTTTAAATGATGTTAATTATGTACAACAAAGGGAAATTATTAGTTCAATTATATCCTTCATGCGGTGCACAAATTGAAGTTAACGACTTCAGCAATCACGTCGTTGTTTCCAACAATTTCTTTTCTCATACAGGGCTATATTTAAATTACAAATTATAAGATGCTGGAGCAAAAATCTCAATGCTAGGCTATTTCAGTCCATAAAATTCAATGTGTAGTTTATTAAAAATAATTTGCATTTGATTTATTCATCATGCAATCTGTTTTTCACCCCATATTTCCATATATTGTGTCGTCATAATTTTTGATATTTATGATTGACAGTTTTCCACCATTACGTCTTACGCAACACCGTTGGGATATTGGGTTTTGGTACTGTGTTGAAAATTTTCATCAGTATTAGTAACATTTTATAGCATATATTTATAGGTTATAGACGAACTCGAACAGTGTTTAAGCTGTTGTTACCATCCCAAATTGTTTATTAGCAAATAGCAACAGTATATTACAATGAATATAACGAAATATATAAATAACAAGGGTATATAAGTTAACCAACTGTTTTTTTTATTTGTATTGGATTGGTGATGCGCGAACATTTTCTCTGGCGAGCATCTATAATTCATGGACGGCAACGATCGTTGGCTTCCTCTTGAGTTTGCTTTTCTGTTTCTCTGTATTCGGAAGGGTATTTCAGTACTTGAATATTAGCTCTCCCTGCCTCTCCATCTATTAACGTTATTACTTTTGCCCATTAACAGAAGTCTTAATTTGATAATTATTGATTATATGTGAGTGCTGAATGAGGTCTGAAGAAGACATCTATCTTGTTACGATAGATTTGAATTAGACAATCAATCATTAAAATATAGTCGAATAATTGTGTGCTAGTCAATTTAAAATTTGCTCATATCATTCATTCATGGCATAAATTGCGACGTACACCAAGTTTTAATATAGGTATTGTTACAAATTTATTCGTCATTTGTTTCCATTGCTCTATTATAAAATATATAAGCTTATTTGAATTCTGATTTTCGGCTTGCTGGGAAATATGATTATGCATAAACTCGCCCTGTCATTGAAAAACAGCCGCCCATCTAGTTATGTTTAAAATATATTATCGATATAACTTCATTAGGTCAATTGATATGTCTAGAAAACAATTAATCCCCAGACAAACGTTTGAAATGGTCCAATACACAGCATGTACACTTAAATGATGAGCACGCGTTTCGTTTTGCCTCTTTTAAAATTGTTATGTGGGGAATTTCGGATTTGTGCCAATTACCGACACTACCACTTCATTTCATTACAATTCATTTCCGAAATTTGTCTCTAATGCGCGAGGTACTTGTTTCCAGTATTTATTTCGAGAGGCGAACAATGCGAAAAGTGGTAGAAGTAAATTGGCAGACGACACCTGACCCCACGTGACCGTTTCGACCAGTCTATAATGGTATTTGTAAATTATGACGTAAACAAGCTTGGATATGGTGTAATTTTTATTCATTCCCCAGTTTGGCCCGAGATAACAATTTGAAAAAAATTTAACCTACCTCAAAACGACAACTTTGGTGAATGTACTAATTGGTGTTTACAGTCAAAAACTTTCTAAGGCTCGGAAGCACAATAGTTAATTGATTGAATTTGCGGTTGGGGTTTTCCGGTTTTCAAACCATCCCAAAATATCTTGAATTGACAATAGTAATTCATAATAGCTTCAAATTGGATTACACATACCATGGCATTCGATAAATCACTGCCTCCACATCCAGCTCATAAGAAGTCATATTATTAGCTCTAATGGGAGTGATATACGAGTCTAGCGTGCGTCGGCTTCGGACATCTCCATTACAGTACCTTGACGTAACCTAGCCTTTTAGGCTCCGCGTTTGTTTGATGTTTTATCTCTTGTGGGAACGGAAGCCCATCAAATTAGCCCATGGCGCCTATTGGAGTTAAAATTCATGGGAGGATAGGCGATTGAATAAAAATATTCACAAGTCTTTTTAATCCCAAACATGACATTATTTCGAAGTGATCTCAATAAAAAAAATCGAGTTTAATAACTAATTTTTGTAGTTGGCATGGCCATATATAGTATATATTAATGCATACTCTATCCTGCACGGCATTATTTTTAATTTATCTGTTGATACTACCAGTTGAATGATTGATTGTCTTGTGCTGATAAAATGTATACATTTCATCATTACGGTCCATAGTTAATTACTGTGTTTCAAGTGGTCTGGGACTTTAATTAACCTATCATAAACAGACAGTAATGATCGACGATTAGAGAGACCCATCCCGTCTTGACCTAGCCATATTTAAATTTAAGTAATGAATAATGTAAATAGGTTACTTACTCATTTTTTGTGGATATCGAACTATCAATGTATTTCTGGACACGCCCGTTGAATTAATAATTTTGGGTAGCTATATTTCGTGTCATTTGTTGAAATTGGAAAGCGCATTCATAACAATGTTTTGAATGAAGGCAAATATTACGTTATGGACGATTCATAATTTCGGAATGATAAAATTAGAAGACAACACTAGCGTTCTGTTACGTGTCTTTCTCCTTTTCCACAAAATACGTCATTTTCGTTTCGCCGTCGACGCAAATAAAAAATCAAACTTCAATTCAATAAATGCTTTCAATATTTTATGAGAACATTCCAGCGACTCGGAGTTCTGAATACCAATCTAAGATTGATACAATCTAAATTTTATTTAAGTGGTATGTTTTTCGTCGTCGCT